CCATCAGCTTCCAATAACCAGTAGTTTAGAAATCTTCATGCAGAGTTCACTAAAACTGTGAAAGAATCATAGTAGAAGTATTGCTCCTATAGTTAACTGCTACTTGGAAGAGAGTTTTAAGTTTAAAAAAACCAAACAAATGTATAAATATATATATATAAAAAATATTGATCTGATCAGAGAAAGGCATCATCATGTCATATAGCTGCAGTAATTATTGCAGTTCACAAATACGTGCACGAGCTGTCATATGCACAAATACAGATGTATTTCACCAGTCTGCAGTAATTACTAAAAGAAAAAAAACCCAAAAACCTACACTGAGGGAAAAGTAGTCACGGTAAAGCAGCCCCAAAGCGGTGGAGAAGCCATGCTTCAGAGCCACTCAAGCTGTAGCGATTTGGCTGCTCTCCCAGAGCGACTCATCACCCACACCACCTAGGTCAAACTGACAGCACAGATATTAGAGAAACTTCTCTCCCACGCACACAGTTATTAAGCAATGATCAGTCTAGCTGCTTATCCAGAAAGATTCAAAAGATCTATCGTGTAAAATAAAAGCCCATTGTTCCCGGCTTTTAATAATAATTCTCTGAAAAGCATCTCTAATGATCGTGACCACAGAGGCTTTATGGGAGAGCTAAGCACGGAGGACAGACCATACATCTTTGCCCTGGGAAAAGCCGTGGAGCGTTTCTTCCTGGACCCACTGATCAACTGGAAGAGCAACTTTGGTTTGGGAGGCAAGCAGCTGGAGAGGGGAAAAGGAGGAGAATATCACAAAGGTTTTCAAACCATAGTTGCTGTGAAGATGTTGTATTAGATGTATCTGCTTGCTACTTACTGCTATACAGCAGCTCGCAACACTCTCTCAGACACAGAAAGGCCTCCGGCATCACCAGGAACATGCAAAACCTTTCATTATCCAACTTAATGGTAACTCTACCCTTGCCTTCCTCTGCCTCCTAAGAATTAACGTCCTCGGGTTTCTGTGGATGTTCACCCTAAAGCCTTCTCCAAAAGAATGAATTTTGCCTCGCACATCAGTAGACTGGCATACATAAATAGGAGCAGGCACATGCAAAGTCAACAGATACCAATATCTGTTATTCTGGGATATTAGTGAAAAAGGCAACAGGGAAACCCCGTAGAACTTGCCTTCATCAACTGCCCTTTGCTTTTTTTGTCTCTTTCTTTTTTTTTAACTCAAATACAAATAGTGCGTTAATGTTTTCCTTGAGACAAACTATTCTGATAAATGTTTATGGCATTAAAAAGAAATTCCCCACTGCATGAGTAGCTGGATGTTTAGACATCCTTGATATAGGAAACATTACACAGCCTCTGCTGTAGCAGTTTGTAGGAAAGTTTGGTGCACGATGGGTTTCCTGTTCCAGTCCTGTCACGTTGTAATTTATAGTAGTAGACAAGAAAGTAGCAGCTCTGAGGGAAGCATCATGCCGAAATAGAGGGCACGTCACTGCAAGGAATACCATGCACGGAGCACCAGTTTGCAAGCTTTTGGGGGTTGGTTTGTTTGTTTTGGGGGTTGGTTTGTTGGCTTGTCTTTTTTTTTTTTTAAATGAGACAATGGAAAGAATAAGAGTGCAGACCTCAAATCCCCCCACTTACTTGTAGCAGAATGATTGATAATACCTCTCAGATCTTAATCCAGCACCACTGTATGAGGTGCTTTACAAACAACGCAGTCCTTTACCTTTACAGGAGTCACCTTTTCCTGCTTACCTGGAAAAACCATCCACATGTAGTTATTTTGCAGCCCGAATCCCAGGCTCTGCAGGAAAGACCTAGTGTTTTCTCCACTGCTGCAGGTGTTCCAGATCTTCATCCAAGCTCTCTTCAGGGCCTGACTCAACCAAGTATTACACTGCCTAGTATTGCTAGTAAACATGAAAATTTTAATAAAACATCCCTCCCTCCCCACCGCCCCGCGGTAACATGAAACAACGTTTCGCCACGTTCATTTTTATCTGCAATTTGATCAGTTTTAGCTTGGATGGATCTGTGGAAACGAGTAAGAGTAACAGCAGCCACTTACTGCTGACTGTAGTGCCAGGTAAAGTTCAATCACCATCCAAACAAGAAACAAAACAAGTGTTTCATTTTGAAGTAGCATTTTATTTTCCACTAGCTTTGTATACGGAGCTTCAGCTTAGTTAACACAAACTGTGCACTGCAGGTAGCTGTAGGGACAGGAATGCTTGCACGCTATGCCTTTGCAATGCCACCGGCTCCAGAAAGCACCACTTTACATACTTTTCAAAACACCAAACTAATGAAGTAGTATTTGCACAAGAACATTGCATTATAATGGTAAAAAAACATGTGTAAACCTTTTTAGCATTACTCAAATACAGCATCTACCTTGAAATGTTAGGCCATATCCCTACAAGGTAACTTGTGTTATGGGAAGCTCTCTGAACAGGGGCTTGCTGTGTTCGTAAGCTAAGGCCTGCTGTGAAATCCCCCAATGCCTTCTACAGAACTGCAGCTTGGCCTTTCAGCCAAGTGCTGGTTCTGCTTTGACCAACACAGTCCAGATATCCACATGCAAATTGTACCAAAGGAATGATTTGCCCAAACCACAGCTGATCTTTATCTTTCAGCCTCATACAATATGCTCTTGGTGGTGTTCTCCGACAATTCCAAGTGGTCAAAACTTCCAAAACTTTCCAAAGTGAGCTCTGGTCGTGGTCACCTGCTTTAGGGTGACCAGGGATCAGACTTTCTCTAGGACACAACACAGGTAACTCCTCTTGAAATTAAGACCAGTAGCAGGGAAGTCACTGCTGTTGAAACCAGACAGCAGGAGTCAGGTTTTTAGAGTACTGAGAAACCTATGTTCCAATTTTTAATTTAAAAGTTTAAATTTAAAAACTTTACCCTAGAACTTTAAATTGCTGGATCCTCCATTAGAGCATACTCCGTAAGTCAAGACTTCAGCTCTTTGGGCTGTGTCTGCATCGACTCTAGACTTGATTTGTCACGATGCTGAAAGCCCTTCATTGCTTGCTGTTTCATGGCCTCTTCCTCAAGTACCTGCCAGTAAGGTCTGCTTGCAAATCAGAGGTTAAATGTGGTCCAGACAAGGGCAGACAATCAATGCATACTGTACTCTTGTAGGGGTTTAGGTTGGTTTCAGGCTTTTTTCTTGTAAATTAATTTCTATTTTAAATAGCTTGATTGAACCTGTATATATGTATATTTAAAATTCCATTAAAAGTTCGCCCTCTTAAAACAAAGTTTTGGATTTCATTTCTCTCAGTGGCATAGCAGTTAAAGAGGGGTGAGCACACCCATTTGGTGTTATCTGGGGAAGTAAGAAATGAGCATTAATGAACACAGCCACACTGCTCTTCTGTTAATCCACCCTCAACGTCTGCTTACACAACAGCAGCAGAGAGTGCAATGTACCTCCTTGGAGCATTCACCCCACTATGGAAGTAATAATGGCTTTTGTGCTTTTTGTACTCTCAGATCCTGACAATCCACAGTCGGATATACTCACGCACACTGGTGTCGGGTCTGGGGTTCCCATCACAGCCAGGTTTCTGGCATAGCTTTAATAAACCATCGAACTACCTATTTTGAAAGCAAGATGAGGAGGAGGAAGAGAGAGGGTAAGTATGAACTATTTCATGAACTTCGTAAACCAAGAAAACAGGTCACAATTCTGTCCAATCGAGCCTACGATCCTCCTCAAGATGCACAGAAACTGTTCAAAGCACAAATACTCAATGAATGCCAAGCCTGCACAGTGAGGCAGGTTTATTCTCTCTGTAGGAGCTTAGGGGGGTCTCACTACGTTGCTTACATTTTGTTTCCATGCACAAGAAGTCTCTGAGATGTATTTATACCATTCATACGAAAAAACAATTTCATGTACTTAAAAGAAAAAAAAAAGAGAAAGACGGCAGCACAGAAAGTTTTCTTCATTACAAAGTGTTTTTCCATCAGGCAATTATTTATAAGAACTTTTGTTAACACTGGAGTTTAGGCTCTGGAACAAAGTGGATATATTGTTTACTAGCTTTGCCAGTCAATCTTCTCTTACAAAACCTCTCCCTTCCCCCTCTCCTTTTCCAGCCAAGTCAGTCCCTTGAATAGCTCAGGAGTTTCCTTTGTCACCAAGATCTCCTTTTCCACAAATTGTCCCTTGAATAATGCCATCTTCAATGTAGTGCCCCGAGGTATCCGTGCTCCTGCAGAGAACCGTCGAGGGGATCCGTGATGAGCGTCTGTCCTGGCTTTTATCCTCAGAGGAGCAGCAAATCATCCTTTTCATGGTACCCCACATCTCATCATCTTTGTATGAATAAATTATTGGATTCATGACAGAGTTCAACAGGGCCAGGAGAAGAAACCACCTTTTAACATTCTGAATCCCACAGTAGGTGCAGTTCAGACCATCGAGCAGTAAGACGACCAGGCCAGGGGTCCAGCAGACAACAAAGGCACCTAGAAATAAAGGAGACCAAAAAAAAAAAAAAAAGACTTCAAACTGCTAAGGGCTTGGGGTTTTTTTACATCTTACAAGATTATTGGGTTCATCAACATTCTACACAAAAATGATAAAAGCAGGAGAGGACAAAATTCTAATGACAGTAGCAAAATTGTATCTACTACAGCTTCTCTGCCAAGCCCTGAGCACGAGGCAGGGCACCTCTCAGAAGGCTGCACGGAGGAAGAATCCAGCTGCTGACAGCATCAGCTCAAACACAAGTGGGGAAAGGTCATCACAACAGTGATTTGTCCACGCTGACAAATAAACAAGAGCTCTGGAGCATTAACGAGCAGAGAACTGGCGCTCTGAACGCAGGCTTCCTCTCTTCATCGCTCTCTCTCGTACGCTGGAGGAGAAGAGACCAGGTGGCCCGCTTCCACCACTGCCGCAACATGATCCAAAGAAGAGATGTCTTCTGTCACACTACAGCTGGCTCTGCAGAGCTATGGGCACACTGCCCAATTCATAAAACAAGAGTCCCATAATTTAAACACATCCTGGCTGGAAACCCCACAGCTAGTGTAGGATGCACGCCATTCTCTGCGACACACAAGCACTGCCGGCTCCCCGGCCGGAGCAGCAGCCCACCTCTCTCCGCTGCTCCCTCCCGGGCTGTGCGTGCTGGGTACTTGAGACCCAACAACTCAGATCCAGGAAACAAATTCAGTTGTAAATGAAAAGAGAGAAAAAACAAATAGATGAGTTAACGAAGATGAACCAAAGGATGTAGCACTCAGGGCAAAAAAATGAAGCGAAGAACAGAATAAAAAGGGGAAAAAAAAAGACAAAAAGGATGAGGAAGTAAGAGTGTAGTGACAGGAGAACAAGAAAACTCTGCAAGAGAGGCATTTCCCCGAAATGTAGCAAGAAACCGCAGGACAAGTCCAGGAGCAGCAGAGTTCTCGTGTTTCAGCTGCGAGGCAGGAATGACAACTGCCCCTGTGAGGAACTGAGACACAAAGTGATAATAAAAGCTGAAAGAAACAAAGTAGGACAACACATTCCCCTCCCACCAGCCCCTCAAAGAAAAAAAAATAAAGAAAGGGGGAATAAGGGAGAAGAGATCTTATACAGAATGAAGACGACATGAAGAAAGCATAAAAACTACAGCTTAGAAGGAAGTTCAGTATTGCATTTGCATCTTTCCATGTTACTGCACATCCCCACCATAAAGGCAGGGGTGTGGGCAGGACTGGTGGGGAGGGGGAACATCGCGACCAAATGCAGCCCTCGGCCACGAGCTTGGGAGGGACCCTGAACTGCCCCATCTGCCCTCCTGCCTCCCCCCGGCACCGCAGCCTGCCATCCCTCGCCTTGAGCCCAAGGAAGGAGTAGCCATATGCATGGTAATACTAACTTAGGACAAGCCACAATTGCTGTCTGACATACAGAAATAGAAAATTACAACTCTGCACAACAGTCACAGTTTGAACAACCTACTGAGGAAATTCCAATAATTTATAACAGCAGAGTTCCCCCTTTTCTGGGCTTAGAAAAAATAATCGGACAAATAAGGATGATAGCAGCTACATGCTAAAAATCTCTCCTGGGGGTGTTGGTATCTGTTCAACAATTTTTAGGGAAAGCAAGTCCAGCTCATTTCTTTAAAGCCGCCGGTTTTCCCATATCTGAGCTGTGCAAGCAAGCAGTGGGAGGGCAGCCTGGCTCACGGCAGGACCCAGGCAGCGCCGGAGCCAGGACTCGGCAGCACTTCAGGCAGCCCATCGGCTGTGCCGTGCACACGGGCTGGTTTCAGCAGCACTGGACACTTCTCCCCATCGAGGATTTCAGTGGACACTGTGCCCATCTGATGGGCAGGCCACAATGATATATAAAGTGAATTCATGTGATTTAGTAAGCATTAGGATTGCTGAAAAAATGTATCCATGACAAGGTACCATGGATCTTGCTGCAAATCTATGCTCCTGGAGTCCAGACAAAACTCAACCAACTGATTTACTATGTTCCAGGCAATATTGTACAGAACAGAAAGGCAAGAGACCACCTCCTTCAGAAACTGCATTTTCTACTCTGCTGTACCAAGATTTTTGTGATGCTAAGTACTAATTTCACGGTGTTCGTTTTGAGATACTGGTTAACATCAGTAACATTCCTCCATTGCCCACTAGCATCGGGAGCTGCAAGATGCTACCACAACACTTGTTTTCTCTGGTCAGTCTCTATACTACGCACTGGTTTGGCTCCAGCATGCTGAGTAAGCAGTTGTGACACCAACTCTCTCTTACAGTCTACAATGGAGAAAACACTCTACTGATTTATTGCCCAGGGGTTCACCAGAAAATCCCATCCATTTTAACAAGCACTGGAACCAGACCACCCACGCAACAATACCGTGTCTAGCTGAGTGTCTCGGTTAAGGATTTGGACAGAGAGCTTTCACTAGCCACCAAGGGTCACCGGCAAAGTCGCCAACACACCAGCTCCATGCAGAAATTAAGATGGTAACAAACTCTCCTTAGAACAAGCACTGAAAGCGTTTTGACCACTTGTACCACAAAGCATGCAAGGTCCAACCCTGCTCTCATGGAAGTCAGAAGGAGAGGAAACAGACCCCAAAGCCACATTTAACAGAAGACACAGAAATCTCTCCTTCAAACAAAACAGCAAGATTGCAGGCAGGATCAGTCTGTGAACTCCTAGGCTATATCCCTGTCTACCTATACAGGCAAAACCCTAAAAGGTTTCAGTGGCAAAAGTAAGGGAAGATAAAAGATATCTGCAGACACCTCTCTGCACACTTCCCCTGCCCCACGACTGAAGACAAGGACAGGGGGCAATGCAGTGACAGTGTTAGAGTTAGTGGCTAATGCTTTCATGGGGCTGTTGCTTTGACTCCATCAAAAATACATGCTGCTGCGTGTGGAGACAAGACAAGCGATTCACACCCTGCTCTTAGCACCGCAGAGATGAAAGCGAGGCATGGCTCAGACTCGCAGCCTTGCTTGGATTTTGCTATTTTTACCACAGAGCTTTCAGAGGGAACCATGGCTAAGCATAAATATATACCTTTGCCTTGGCCCTTTGGCAATTTTCTTGTCTGCAGACTTCTTAGCCCATAGGAGCTCCTCTCCCTGACAAAATGCCACACTCCAAAAAGAATTTAATTTCTGGGACTCTCTAACATTCACAGAAGTGACATGAAATATAGGCTGGCTGCAACATGGATCAGAAGAACAGCTCTGAGTCTTCCCACCGGATTATGGGAGATCAGGTGCCACAATGCCTCAAGGTTAGTTTGAGGATTTTCCATTAGATTTAAACATGGATTTTCTTGTAGATTACGTCTTCTCTGCTTGCAAATGAATTCCCGTGTACCTGGAAGCACTACTGATGCTTCGGCAGCATCATGTCACAAAACTCTGCACATCAAAGCTGTTCCTGAGCATGCTGAGAAAAAAAAGAGTGCAGTAGCTTCCAGTTGCCTTTGCCACATGTGCACCCAAGTTAAAACGGCAAGTTACCAATTAAACTATAAATTCACTGAAACTGAAAATCATCCTTTTTTTTTAATCTCACTGCCAAGTTCAGATGAGCTACCACATACACACCACCTGAAAATCACGCACCCGCACACCTGCAGCCACCCTTCTTCAAAGCTAGTCACAGGCTTAGCTAGGACTATGCCGCAAGGTCAGCCTAAGAGGATTTTAGCCCCTTTTGCTAGGTTTTAACGACTTAACATGCCAAAGGGAGAGCCTTGCTCCTATCCTGTGATGGACCATTTTAGAGATTAAGGTAGAAAAAGGTAGATGATAGGGACCTGAGTCCCAGCCTCTGGAAGGGGCCATCCAAGCCCAAAGGGTGGTGCAAAAAGCCACCTGCAGCTGTGATCACCGTGAAGTCACACTGAAACCCAGATTTGCCCAACTCTTAACTGTAGGACCACAGGAGGAGACCACCCAGAGCGGAGAGCGATGTTTTGCTGGAGGGGGAGGCGGCCATGGGCCCAGCCTCCCCAGGAAGGGAGGTGGAGGCAGATGGGAGGAGCAGCATGCCAGCAGCACCCAGCTACACGCAGCCTCCTTCCACACAGCAGTGGGGCAGCAGGACTTTGTCCTGAACCTCCCATGACACCAACAGAGCACACTAACGAGAACTCTGGTTCTCATCATGCTTCATCCAGCAACAGAGCATCTCAGAATCGCTTTTAGTTAAGACCGTATCAGGTGTGTACTCCAAAGCACTTTCAGATGTTTTGGAACAAGCCATTAAAAATAACAGCCCTGGGCAAAATCCACATGCTGCGTATAGCTGTAGGTTGTTACATTAGTGGATATAAGCAGAATTTTGGAAGAATCACTTTGGTCACTTGGTGACTCCTCTGCTAATTGGAAAGCCCAGAAAACATGCTATTCAGTTTCTAATACATTTTGCACAGTGTGCTTGAATGACTTGGCCAGGAACGCACATTTCAAACTGTTTTAAAAAATAAATTCCCATTCCTAGAAATAAACACTTATAAAAAGCCTCTCAGAGTCAAAATTTGGAGAATTGATATGAAGGAACATGCCAAGATACAATTCCTCTGACACAGGAGTTTGGGATAGATCTTGCACCCAGCAACACATGCACTCATTTGACTTCTTTGGAAGCAGGCTCTGTTTCGGTTTTGTTTCTGACTGACAAAGTAAATATACAAAATTATGATCTCTAAAGTAGCACTCAGACTTTCTAAGTTAAATTTGCCTGGCCCAGGGTACAATATCACTAAATGCTTTGCGTGAATAATAGTTTAATCTGACTGACTGAAAAGCCATATTCTGCGAGTAAGAGAAAGCTAATGCTGATCTTTAAATCAAGCCATAGTCCTAAGGCCCCTCTCCCTAGTAAAAGAAAGAATAAGTTGAAAATGAAGTTTAAAGTGGGGTTTATTTCCACACAGCAGCACGGCCGTGGTGAGCACTGAAGACCTGCCACAGGCTAACGGACCACGAGGGATTAGCAAACGGCAGCCACCATCACTGTCCTTCCAGCTCCCAGCTCAGCCGGCCGGGTGTCCCCCCGGCGTGCAGACCACCTCTCTGCCCTGACCTGCAAACACACAGGGGTGGCACCAGGAGCTAACAGCGTTATTCCAACACTCGCTCAGCACCCTCCAACTTTGGCTTATACAAAACCAAAGTAATATTAACTATATAAATATACATATAAATTAGACAAGGCTATGCATGATGATTTATTTTTATGTGACTTTCCAGAAAGCAGCCTGCAGTTCTGCCTTCAATAGAAATTCTCACAGAACTGCTTTTTAAAAATGTTTTTCTTTTCGTCTCTTTCCAATACAGCAGTTAACTACAGTCTACCCAACGCTTATGCATTAGGGCAGGATCATATTTGGAGCAAGTCAGAGTTTTTCTGCAGGGATTTTCTCCTTCCAGGTGAATGGTTTAAGTTTCACTGCACGAGAGCTTCAGGCGAGGCAAAAGATCGCATCTTGCTCCTGCAAGTCAAGGGGGGGACAGGAACAACCACCACATTGTCTCTCCATAGGTACCATAAAATCAAGGGGAAAAAAGGAAGGACAACTGGGGAGGGATTTAGAAGGGAAAGGCTCTGGCAGTGGACAAGCCAACTTCAGGAGACACAGGACTGGAAGCGAGAACCCTGTACTTGCTTGAACCATCAGTCCACTTTCTTTCCCAAGGTCAGGCACTGTAAAGTTTAAGTGATCTCAGCTTCTAAAGCATTTGAAAACATCATTTGGTAGACAAAGGTGTTGTGTACTACAGCACTATTCTTTTGGGGGGCGGGGGGAGGGGGGAGAAAAAAAAAGAAGAAAGAGAACCAGATACCAGACTGTGCAAACAGCGTCCATAGACCGCAAGGGGAAGAAAGTGTCCTCAGCCTGAACTTCCTACCCTGGCAACTCCTACCTCCATGAAAAGTGACACTTTTCTCCCAGAGCTCTCTAGTACTACCATGCTGCAGTACGGCACAACTGTGTCCCAGGTATACATGGACACCAGCTTTCCCAAAAGCTCCAGCTTTCTTCTGCTGGCTCATACAACATCAGAACAGCTGTCAGAGCGGTAAAGCCATATTTGTGGTTTTAGAGTCCCCCACCACCTGAGCCCAGCCTCACAAGTGTCCCGGTGTCGCCCCAGTTCCACCCGTAGCGAGCTGCATGAGCCACGCTCGCGTGACGCCTGGCTTCCAGAAAACATCTCGCTCGGATTCAAGTCTTCCTGGGGAAAATTGACTGCTACAGCTAGTATTTTGTTCCAACAATCATCCGCACTGTGCATCTCTAATTTAATAAGCAGCTACATCACAACTAGCTGATGAAATGATCTGAACTGCCTGAATATCAACAGCATCTCTAGGGCAGAATCCTGGTGAAATCTCATGTTATGATCTAGAGATCCAAGGCCATGCTGTATCATCATCTGAAAGTATTTTGCACTATGCAATCTTCACAGAACGAAGGTGAATTCTCCCCTTGCAAAGCAAACCTCTGTCAAAGTCACAGACCCACCAGGCATCAGGCATCCTCTCCTTTCCCCAGGGAAGTTGCATTTCCAGGGGGAAGAAGTTAGTATGTTTACAAAAAAGCCAAGAGGAAGAAGGGCAAAGAAAACTATCCACATCCAGCCATAGGATCCATGGCCTTGTGCAGATATTAAAGAACATTATTCTGAAAATATTCTACTAGGTAGTTGTGAATCTTCACAAGCCTTTCTCCAAAGTGATTTTGTATTCCCCCCCCCCTCCCCCCAAAAAAAAGTAGATAATTTGTGTTTACTAACAAGCTGCCTACAAAATAGAGACACTTTTCTTCTACACGTCAGTCCTCTACTTCGCATTTCTGCATGGTGCAACACTTATTTCACTATCTAAAGCAGACAGAAGTCTAAATGCCTCCAGCACGTAAAAGTTCAGTGAGGGTTTTTTTGTTTTGATTTGGTTTAGGGGGTTGGGGGGGGGGGGTTTGTTTTGTTTTTAAAACCAAAAACAAGCAAAAGCAAACCAACACACAAACCCACTCATTGGCCCTGCCAGCCTTGCACGCCATGGTTTGTAGTCTCTTACCTAAGAGAGTCATGACAGTCTTCATAAGCTTCACAGGGGTTCTCCTATGGCTAATGGATCCACTAGTGTGCGACGACAAGACATTAGTTTTCCTCTGGACGTACATGTAGATTCTTATGTAAACCACCACCATAATGAAGAAGACGACTAGGTTTAAGACACTCCAGAACACCAGGTAACTTCTGCTGTAAATGGGCGCCAGGGATGAGCAGGCAGTAATGTCACAGAGGCAGTTCCAACCCAGGGTAGGAACAGCACCCATGAAAATAGCAATGGCCCAAATTGATATAATTAAAAAGGTGACTCTCTTCTTTGTGAGATTACTGTGGATCTTCATCCGCATTATCGACATGTGCCGCTCAACAGCTATGACGAGGAGATTCACCAGGGAAGCTGTCAGGCTGGTGTCCAGAAGACCCTGACGCAAAAACCAGCGGTTAACAGTTAATGTCTTGGACACTGGGCCAGTGTTGAACATCAAGAAGACATAGGCAATTCCAGCAAAAAAGTCTGCAGCAGCTAAGTTGGCCAGGAGATAGTAAAAGGGAAAATGAAACCTCTTGTTCTTGACCACGGCTGCTATGACCAATGAATTTGAAATGAAAATGAAGAGGCAGAAAAATGTCCCAAAACACAGAACAACAATAAGCTTTGGCCCTGTCCACTCATCCACTGTGTCAGTGTTTGTCTTGTTATAGAAAAAGTCCATGTGCTTATCATAGTAGCATTCGTTCATCCTGGATTAAAGCCCCTGCATCCTAGGAAGGGTGGAAGGGAAAAAAGAAAGAAGGATTAAAAATCAACTATTGGTCCTTGCTTCAATCACCAACCTAACAGCTTGTATGTATTTGGAGGCCTTAAGTAAAAATTCATGTTGTACAGAGTTAATGCGGAAGAAGATATTCTGTCCGCTGGAGGACTGCAGTGCATGATGCTTGGACGAATCAGGAATTTTTAAAAGACTTACCTGCTTACAAAACCCCAGCACAGTCCCTTTGCACTAGCAGTCATACTGTACAGGCAACAAAGGGGAAGTTAAGAGGTTAAAAGTGACTTTCTGGAGGTCACAAAGAAAATCTGAGCAACAGCCAAGCCATTCTTGCTGTGAAATCCCATGTTTGAGCCACAGCCCCATCATTATTTCCATTTCTCAATGTATCCAGACAGGACAGGGAAGCATAAATCATAACTCTTCCATTTTACTGACTAAGCAATAAAAGGCCTATTACTGGAAAAATATTTTGGGGGTTTTCAATTATATATTAATAAATGTAAAACTGTATGTATATAAGATGCTACAGGCATATATATTCTGAGCACATGCCTGTTATTTACTGCTACAGGATTTAAGTAAACGTGCTGAAAAAGGAAAAATATATTCTACATATTTGACTACTCTAAAGCCAGGGATTATTTTATCGGGCTGTCAACCCAGAGCCCTGTGAGCACGGCACAGCCCAATTATCTTCAAAACCAAAACACATTTCCCTACCCAACCACAGGATAAAGCGAGCCCCAGCAACAGCAGCAGTGCTGGGTTGTTGTTTTTTTTCTTATACCCACTCAGCACTATTTTGGACACAGGGCTATTAAACATGATGGAAGGGGGAGTCTGTGTTCCAGATTACATCACACTTCAGCTACTCCGGTGAGGTCAATGTCAGCTGCCTTGGCAATTTTACTGCCTTTATTACGAACCAAACTCAACTCAAACTAATTTACACAGGCAGGTCCAACAGCAATTACTCAGGGTGACCGTACCCCATGCAGGGTCTCGTAGCCTAGTAGAGAGAGTTTGTGTCCCATCATCACTAGCCCTCACGTTCACTGTCAGTATCTGAATAAGGGTTTTAACAATGACTTCCTTAATAGATATTGTATAGTTTTAGCGAAACCTAGGAACCCAACCATGGCACAAGATCCTAATCACGTTAGCTATTACACAGAATGGCAAACCTGTGTCTGACTCTAAGGACAGAGAGGAGGAAGTATCGGGATACAAAGCTGCAGGAGAGGCAGCAACGCTAATGGCTTTTGTAAAGCTCCTTGTGAGCCTCTGGCTGTCACGAGTGCCAGAGTGATAGACTGAGTGGGGCTGAAAAGAAAATAAACCTAGAAGAAGTGGTTACAGGCAGAAAGGTACAAAAAAGCATAAGCTTTTCACCTCTGCAGCTAAAGTTGATCACAGATAAAGATCAGGTTCACTTAGTCTATTATTACCCTGTGGTTACTTAACAGTTATATCTCATCTCTCCAGGGACTGGGAAGCAAATTAAGCAATCCCCAGCAGGCTGGCTAACAAACCTCATTTATATTAAAGGTTCCTTCTGAGTTTTAAGATAAAAAGATTCATCTTCTGTCATTTATGTTAAGTTACTTGTGTTATTTCTCTCATGCAATATTTCTATTATCTAATTTTAAATCAATTCGCACTATTCATGATTAATATTTTCAGCAAAGTGAATAATTTTTTTTCAATATTTCATTTTTCTAAACTAGCTCCTTGGCCTTTTTTTCTTGGTTCCCACCCTACATCTAGTAGTCAACATGAAAGCGGGCCACTTGACGTTGTTGTCCCTTTTATTACCCTCAAGAACCTAGGCAGCCACTTCTTTTATAAAAGAATATATTACTTAAAGCGTCAAATTCAAGTACATAGTCAGAACTAAGAACAGTTACTTAAGGACAAGAAGTGGAAGGAAACAAGTAAATCATCCCTTGTGCTGAAATATTCAGAGCATCCCTTCATCTAAAAATAAAAAAGCCTCAGCAACTCAGATCCACCATAAGGAGTCAACCAGAATTCAATGCCTACCGCTCCCTGTTCAGGGCAATATGGTAGAGTTGGGCCGTCAGTACATTCCCCATTCTCACCTAGGAAGTACTCAAAAGTGAAATTAAGTCTGTAAGTGACCAGAAGTCCCCGAGGAGCTGCAGAAAACAGCTCCTCCAGCAGCCGAGTGCTGGGAACCCTGTCCTGCCGAGATAGCTCTGCTCTTACCCACCAAGGCAGTAAAGGACTTGCTGAGCTTGACATGAAGCTTTTACAGAACAGCCCAAAAGCCTGCAAATAGAAGCAGCATTTTGGGCAAGAATGGCAGGAAAAAAAAAAAATCTGTGAAAATTATAGGGAAAGTTTTCTGAACATGTTGTATTTTACTTTGTAATCATCTCGACAGATGAATCTTTTTTACTTGCAGTGACAGGAGAGTAAAGAGATCTGCAGCTACTTTTTGCATCTCATCGAGAGAACAAGCTTAAAGAAATCCAAAATATCAACTATGAACTTATACTAAATACTTCAGCTTATTGAGATCCCCTCCTCATTTGAAGTAGTACCAGAAAAAAAGTTACACATCCGTAATTCTCCTCCAAAATAATCACACTACAAACACTCACTGTCACACAGCAGAGCTCAAGTGACAAACGATTTTGAAAAAGATTTCTTGAGGTGTTGCGATAAGGCAGGAGGCAGTAGAAAAGCATCCAGCTGAGGTCTCAGGGTCACAGGGCAGACTCTGGAGATGTCCAAATGGAAGCAGCATCAAAGCGGTAGCTGAACTGGAGCTAGTTTGCATCCCAGTCCTTCAGAGCAGAGATGTAGACTTGGCTGTCTGTACCAGCCTATGTACAAAAAGCACTTGTCACGCCAAGGTCCTTCCAGATGGTGGTTTATTTCACACCTCCATTTTATTTTAAGTCCTCCCAGCAGAACTAGCCCGGCCTCAGGGGAGCTGTGCAGCTGTGACAGAGCTATGCAGCTGTATCCTCAGTGGTCCTGCCCCGGTCCACACCAGGCACGAGAGACGTGTGATAGGATATCCCATGTTTCCTGGCATGCCACAGTTTAACACATTGCAGGACTTTGTTCTCCAGGTCTTCTCTTCTGCAGCCAAATCAGAGATGTTTATCTTAACCAGGGCAGGTTTAAACTTAAAAAGAAAAAAAAAACACCCTTAAATGTTACATATTTCAGATTTGTTTGTTAAGTACACGCAAATTTGAAGATTCAGGCAAAATATTGTTTGTCAAAGTTTTAAAAATAATAGAAACCGAAATAGTAGAAAAACAGCTAAACTGGTCAGCCCAGCCTTATAAAGACAACAGAGAGTCTTCTAGAGTCTGCAGCAGAGAGGTCCCCAGTCCTGCTACTCACTTCATGAAGAATTGCCTTCTTTTGCTTTGAAAGTGGCTCTCACGAGCTTGATACTTCTCGTGTTTTTTATGGGAAAGGGCAGCAATCAATCTCCATTCACCTCTTCTATGCCACTCGGTATTTTATAGCCCTCCATATAGACCTTCAAAAGCTTGACAGCAGTAACCACGTATTGCATATTCTACAGATGGGTTGAGCTATTAGCTTGCCACAAGTCACTCGCAAGCAAATACATCAGAACTTTGCAAGTGCCAAAAGCATACCCTTGTCAAAAAGGTTCTTTTCCTTATTTCAATCTATTTAATTACTTCAGTTCCATCAATAGTGGCTACAAAGATCAGAAACTGATGGACTGTGAAGCGTGTTTTCCTCTACCACTCTGAGTAAACCTAAGCTTTGAGTGGGAGAAATCATCTGTTCCAAAAATCTCAAAGGATTTGGTTCAGTTAAACTGCTTTCAAATGCAAAAGCACGCATTAAGAATTCTTCCCCATCCAGCACATCTTGAGCTCTGTTTGTCTTAAAGACAGCTTGTGTATTTGAATTTATTTTAAATTCCTCTATGTAAGTGCAACTTGTATCAAGTCAGAATATGTTCTTCACCATTCTTAAAATAAAAGTCAAGAATTTGTGTGAGTGTATAGGAATATGTTACACTAGCTACCTAAATAAAGAGTTGGTGAAATAAAACATCACCTAGATAATGTTTTGGACAAAAGCTTCAGCTAGTTGCAAGCTAACATGCTTTACTAGTTGTTATTCAATTAGGATCTAGTTTGCCTCAAGAAAGTTACTAAAAATCTGTATATTTATAATGAAATTTAATATCAGTTATTCAAATCCAGGATTTTGCTCATTCAAACTGTGATTAAAATCACCTTTTAAGTCACTTTGATCCAAAATTAAATTCGGCCTGTAAGTCAGCTCTAAGTTGAGTTACTCGTTACTAATGCAAACATTTCTGAAGGAAAACTCAAGTAGTATTTTAATGAGAAGGTCATTACAAAATTTAGCCTGCAAGCCATGATGTGATCCATGGCACACCCCACTGGTTTTCTGCCTCTCTCCTGTCCATTAAAAACAAAATTGTTTCAATACATTGGCCACAACCTTATTGAAAAGCTGGCGTCAGTCTGGGGGACTTTGATGGCTTCTGCCCTGCTCCTGTATAAATGCAACAGGGAGGGAGCGGACAAGCACGGGTTGGCACGGTGAGCTACTGTGAGAGGATTCAAGCCAAGTGTGCAGCTGGGCTGAAAAGTCCATAGAGCAGGACTGAACCTATAGGAGGACTACAGCAGCGAAGTCCTATAGCAGGACTGAAAGTTAGCTCGGGTGAGAGGCGAGAGAAGTTTGCCCAGGCAGAACCCCAGCCTGGTTTACCGCTGGTTTTCCTGAGCTGGCACAGGGATTTCTGTGCAGAAATTCAGGGCGGTTCA